TATAAAATACGCTATGCTCTACCTAATTCAGGCAAAAGTCGATGCCTGTTTTGACTAGTTTCAGAGGAATCAACTGTGAAACTCTGGCCTGCCTGAACAAACTCTAAAAAAATTCTGAAAATTCCTTCAGGATGACTCGAATTCGAAACGTTTTCTTCTTATAGAACACACCTTTCCTACACAATTTACACATAAATGACTCGCTAAGTTTTCTAGATTTTTATGAAATAAATGCCAAACTTAGTCCAGCAGAAGCAACTTCAAAACTCGAAGGTACCTTCAAAAATTTACCAAAAATTGCCTGATGGTGGCTCAAAATCGAAACTTCTTCCACATATAGAACGCGCTACGGTCTATAAAATGCAGTCGAAAATCAATCTTCAGCTTAACTGGTTTTTGGGAAAATAAATGCCACTTTATCCTGTATAAACAAGCAGTCCATCGCAAGTTTGTGATGGAAAAATTTATCAAATTAGCCTGATGATGTTTCAAAAGCGAAATTTTTAGCACTTATAAAACAGACAATGCCCAATAAAATCCGTACAAAAGTCACTCTCTAACTTAACAGGCTTCTAAGGAAATTACTGTTAAACTCCGGTGTGAATAAGCCAGCGCAAACTGCGAACCAAATTTGAACAATTCTCAAAAATTTCCTGAAGACGATTCAATATTGAAACCTTCCACTTATTCAACAGACTTTTCCCCAGAAATGAGATTCAAAAGTGATTCGACAGTTTCTCAGTTGCTGAGGAAATAAATGTGAAATTACGACTTGCTCTCCTAAAAACATGAATTTTGAAACGCAATTTTGAGCGCAAATTAGCTTTAAAAGTGAGAAAGTAATTTTTGGATGCATTTTGTAGGACAAAGTCCCTTCTAAAAGTAAGTTAAATTTCAAGAAAATTGACACATTTTCAAAATTGCGCTTAAAAAATTTGTCCAGTTTGTTGAAACTTAACACACAAACAAAAGAACTTCGTCTTACAAATACATCCAGAAATTCCTTTCTCACTTTGCAAGATTGAAACTTTTCACACATGCAAAGCAGATTTTGCCCTACTAAATTCAAAGGAAACTCTATCGCTTTGCTGTTTTTCGGACAATTAAATGCCAAAAAAACAAGTAAAAAGTTCGAAGGCCAAGGAGAATTTTGAAAATTTGTCAAAAATTCCTAAAAATGACAAATTTCGAAACAGTGTTCACTTGTAAAATGAACTTTTCCTACAAAACGCATCCAAAATATACTTCCTCACTTTGTATAAGCAAATTATTCTCAACTCCGGCCTGCAGAAACCAGACGGGATTTTGAAAAATTTCTGAAAATCGTCTGATGTTGACTGAGATTCAGTACTTGTTCCACTTATAGAACCGGATAGAAGAGCCTGTGCTTTATAAAATGCATGCAAAAAGCACTGCCTAGTTCTACTGATTCCTGCAAAATCCAATCGAAACTTTTCTTACCTATAGAACGCACTGTGCCCTACAAACTGCATGCATTTGAGAAATAACCACTGGCTGCGCCTCTGATCTTGCAAGCTGCAGCGGTCGGCCCTAAGTGAGACATGCCCGCATCTGCCCCGTTTGATAAAGAAAACTTGTTGTCGTGCATTTCAAGCCTTCTTAATGGCAAATAGTCTGGTCCCATTAATGTCCCTAGGGATTTGCGTATAGGTTCTTCCCTTCTATTGCCGCTTGGCCTTCTATCAGCTATGACGCTATATTGTGGTGTTGGACAAAACTGTAAAAACTAAACCGAGCCTATCAATGAAACTTGGCAAAGATTCAATTGCTCCTGCTGTCGGCCGGCAGCTGCTGGTCGACATCAGTGCACATTTATCTCAAAGTGAGCGTGTTAAGTAAGCATTTTTTGCAGGCGATGGACGACGAAGCCTACGAAATCTCCTCGGAACTGTATGAGGAGCACGACTACACCTCCAAAGCCAAACCGACAATAAACCCCAAAAGTATGATCGCTGACTTGACCTAAAAAAAAATCAGTATGCAAAACTGGGCTTTCTAGATGTGGTCAGCGATTTTCACTTCGAGCTGCCCAGCTACCGCCTGACGGACAAGGAGGGCGACCTGCTAGTGGCCAGGAACAAAACCCAACTCTCCCAGTGCCTGGAAATCGGTAAGTGAAGCCCGATTCAACTGCCTGGGTATAGGCAGCAGCCCCTTTGCTCTAGAACACAGCTACAGCACCAGCCTGGACCTGGTGGGTTTGCAGCTGTGGCGAGGATCGCTGCTATTGGCCGATTGGCTGCTGGATAACTCCGCCTCCTTTGCCCCACGCCACTCCATCCTGGAGCTGGGCGCTGGAGTGGGGCTCACCTCCGTGGTAGCTGCGATGTTTGCTCCAGTGATTTGTACAGGTTGGCAGGTTTTTCGCGAATTTCTGCGCCTAGTGAGATCATTTGGGGTGTTCCAGACGTGGACCGGGGGCAGATTTTCCAGATTATCAACGCCAATGTGAATAGGAACCGGCACTTGGCCAAGCATCCGGTTGAGGTGCTGCAGCTGGATTTTACCGCTGATGGTTTACCCGAAAAAGTTCTAGCAGCGCTGCCGCAAGTGAAAACTGTGATTGCAGCGGATGGTACGTGCCCCCTTTTCTGTGCATATTTGTACGTTGTGATTGGTGCAAAATGGTTTGTTGATGGAAATCGGGTAATTTTCTAGAACATCAGGACTTTGTGGGCGCTGTTAACAATGTGCTCATCTTATAGGAAAACTTGTGAGCTAATTTTTTTGGTGGGTTGGTTGCGAAAATGAGGTTTACGACCAGTTTTTTTTATCAAGTAGTAAAAAGTAGTAAAAATACTGCTATGAAGAGTTGTTGGCATTATTTTCGCTCAACCTTTTAGCGCCCACAATCCTGTTTGAGACCGTTTTTACAGCAGGAAATGTTTTTTTTTAGTAGTGTACGATGACCGTCTTACAGAAGCTTTTGTTAAAACGGTGAAAAAAATACTGGACATTCCCCCGAGCAGGAGCGTGCTGATCGCTCTGGAAAAACGCTACGTTTTTACCATTAGCGACTGTGATACGTGCGCGCCTTGCTATGAGCATTTCCTGGAGCAGCTGAAGGTCTTGGGCAACGTTACTATTGAGGCCGTTCCCACCGATTTTCCTCAATATTTCCGCTATGATCGCTGCAAAGAGCTGGTCCTGTGGAAGTTGACCTCAAAGTTCTGAAACCAGTCGCTGCTTCAATATATTATTTTTTTATACATAAACTACGGGACTTTGCGGTGCTTATTGCCCTCAACCTCTTTTCCTGTCGCTGCTCCATAAAACCCTGATAAAAACGGCGCTATTGCCGCTTCGCTAAATCCCCAAATGGCATCAGTGCTTTGAAGGTAGTGTAGTCTAGGGTTATGTTCCTCTGTGTCAGCGACCAGTGTTCTTTGATTTAAGGTAAGTTCCATTATTCCCACACAAAAGACTTATAGGCCCTTTACAGTGTTCCGGCCGAAGCCCGTCCTAAGAAGAATTGACTGTTGATGCCTTGGCAAGCCCTGTTTTAGGCCCCCCCTAGTTCACCCACAACTGCCCGTTAAAGTAACCACGGATTTTACGGCTGTTTGGGCCCCAAATGGGGGCTAATATTGATGCAGTCCTTTGGGGGCTGCCACCGCCATGGGAAACTGCCTCACCAGTTGTCTGCCTAACAACAGCGACAATTTCAACGCGCTCTCGAAGTCGGGGAGCGATTTATCCGCCCTGGTTGATGAGGTAATGAAAATGAGGCCCCACTATTGCCAAAATTCGGTTAATTGATCGCATACTTTTTCGTTTAGATGGATGACGCTGCTGCGGCCGACAAACGGTAACAACTAGTGTTTGCCTGCCTCCATCCATCCTGCAATCATTTCCGTTGATTTTAGGTGTTTTATCTCCAGGCTGTTCCACAGGAGGAAAGACAGAAAAGAGGTGAACACTGAATGGAACTCCGTGGGCTTTTGATGGAGCTTAATTGCTTTGTTTCTAGAAGGCCTCAACTGGTGTGGTCGCGATGCTAAGGCCGCAACTGTCCTACCACAGGCTGTCCGAGTTGCCCAGAGCCTCCCTCCAGAGGTACTAAGACGTTTTATTCAACTGCGCAGATAATGAGGTACTTGCTCTTCAGCAGAGACATCCAGCTGCAGTTTCTGGACGCCAGGGCTTTGTTAAGCAGCGCCAGCCTCTCCACTAGAGCCTCCACACCGGAAAACTCTCTGGAGCTGGAATGGGAGCACGAGACTCTGCCCTGCTCCATCATCCATGAGGCATCAGGCAGCTCTTGGTACTGGAAATTGGGTGGTGTTGCAGCTGGATTTTTTTAACCGACCAAGTGTTTCAGGGCAACTTCCATATTTCCCGAAGACACTCTGACGACTCAGGCCAATCGCAGTCCGCTGCATGCCGTCAATGTGACCGAATCGGACTATTCCAGAGTGTCGTCATCGGCTAACAGTCTGGAATGGGACAGTGTTCAAAACTCCGTGCATTCGGAGGTTTTGGACACTGACACCCAGTTCCTGCTGAACGAAATAGATAGGCTAACAATGCAGGCGCTGAAGGAAACCGGAGCTATTCAGGGCGACGTAAGTTATCTGGACGATGCGCTTTAATCGAACGATTTTCCCGTACTCACAAGACTGTAAAAGGATGTTATAGGTACTAAAACCAAAGGTATTTTTTTTAAGAACCCAGTACCATTTTGTATGCTTTTACCTCACGCTGTGTTACAGTTTTAACCAGTCCACGAATCGATGTTCGTTAATGTTGTAAATACTACGTGAATGTGATTATTTTAACGCAGTTAAACGCCTCAATATTGTTAAGTTTGCACCATGTGAGTTACATATATGATAGAAGTATAGCAATAATGGCCACCGGAGTTGTGTTGGGACCAATTGGATTGGGTTGCTCTCCTCTAAACGTTCGAACGCATCATATCCCAGATTTTCGTTAACCGGGCACATATCACGCACGTGAAATGAATGGAATAAAATAGCTTTTTCAATCTTATTCGTTTATTGCTAGGACACGTCCCTCGTTTTGTGGAAGTTCGTAAAACACCAAAACTCGTTTGCCAGATTGTTGCGATGATGGGGCTCGAACTTGTGCTTCTCCAAGTCCAGCAGCCTGCTCGCCAAGTCAGCCATTATTGCCCCTTAAACGGAACAGTCGTTAGCTACAGGGGACTTACCCATTGACTACTGTTGCTTACCGGTGCTTAATATTATGCGCCTTTTTGTAAGGAACTTCATTGTAACCGCCGTTTTCGTCAGACATTCGTCGGATAGAAATGGAGGGTCGGCCACTACTATGTCGTAGTAGCTGCTTTTATCTCGGGGGATGTTCAAAGGCGACCGATAGTCGTAAAAGACAAAGTCGCCCCCAAACACTGCAAACCTCCGATCGAACTCGAAGAGCGTCACTGAAAAGTTCGCTAAGTTTCACTTAGGCCTGGGCTGCAGGCGTTTTTACCTTCGGCTTCGGGCCCTGCCCGCTGTTTCATCTCCGTGTAAAGCGTCGGGCAGGAAACAAGGGCGATTTTTGCGTTCGTCCCCACAGCTTCCAGTGTCATATCCACTAGTCCCTTGATCGTGCGTTCGTCGTACCAAAACTGGCTGAGTTGCTGCAAAAGCCGCTCTGTTAGAAGAGCTTTCGCGGCTGGAAAGCCCCTAATTACTTGCCCAGTCCTCACTAAAGTCCCCTTTGACGGAAACATCACGTGCAGACATTTCCATGGCCTCTCGCTCCTCTTGCTCTTTGTAAAACTCCTGCAGGGCCGCAAAAGCGCTGGCCGACAGCTGCGGCAGCTCACTTTCCTCGTCCGAAGGCATGTTTTCAGCCCCTTTTCCTAGCAAATGCTTAACCTCACTTCAGTCAAACTTTGTATTTCACGACGTTGTCACGGTTTCTTGTGGAGTTGAGGTTAAATGCCACTGACAGTGAGAGGATTTAATGAAAAAAATAAGATCAAAAATTAAACTAGTTGCAGTAGCACGCTATGTCTGGCTTGGAAGGGGCCATACAGGCCCTACAGGGCTCGCCCACCCCCAAGGCCTTGGTGAAGGCCCTGATCTGCATTCGCCATGAAGTGGACTGGCCCAAAAAGAGACAAAACGTTGTCCTGCTCAGAACTAAGGGCGCCCTGAAGCAAATAGCTGCGATTCTACTGGCCACCAACCAGAAAAGCTGCCTGGATTTGGCGCTGAGCATCCTGGGCAATTGCATGATGGAGCGGGCATGCACCAATGAATTAGTAAGTTTGCTCTGTCCGCATTTTGATTTGGTAAGTGATGGTTTGTGTAGGTGACCCAACACGGCATCCTGTCCATCCTGAGCCAGCTGCTGAAACGACACGCGAACCAGGACAGTATCAATGGAAGGACGTTCCGAATAGTCGGAAATATGTGCCATCATCGAGACCAATGGGCTACGCTCATGATTAATAAAAAGCCCACAATAGTTTCGCATATAGTGAAAGTAGTGCAGGCCGCCTCCAAAGACCAGCTGCCTGATGGGGAGAAAATCAGCGAAGCCACCCTGGTGACGGCGCTGAGGGCGCTAAGGTAGTAAAGCCTTGAGTGATCATGGCCCTTTTTGAAACAAGCAATTTTTTTCCAGAGAACTTCAAAACAGCAACACCGTGAAATGTTTGGTGAAGCAATTCGGGGCTCTCAAGGCTGTGGGCTCCCTTTTCATCAAGTACAGCGAGCGATGGCAGGCGTGCAAGGAAAACGAAAAAACACTGCTGGACATCATCCGGGTGATCCACGAGTATTCGCGATTTAGAAACTACGATTCTATTCTAGAGGTGCCGTTTTAGCCTGCGTTTTAGCCAGCGGAACTAACGATTTTTGGGGCGTTTTCAGTTGAGAAGTACCGATAGAGGCGACTCGCTGGTGCATTTGAGCAGCATCCTGATTCTGGACCCGCGCAAGATCGTGAAAATCGTGATGAACTTTATCAAAAGCTGTCAGTTGCAGTCCGAGCTGCCCATTCCCGAAATCTGCACCAAATTTATCGAAGTTCTAGAGGAGCATTCCATTGTGAAGGGTACCAGCCTGGGAATATTGCCAATAGCAGTTTTATAAGCCTGGTGTTTTAGAGTTTCAGGGCCAGTGCACCGAGTATTTGCAATGTCTTTGTTACCTCCTCGACCATCCAGCCAACCGCAGCCTGGAAAGGTGCGGCCGAGCCATTCCGTTGCTCATCAAGGTTCTGAGCGATTTCGACGAGGCTTCCAATAACATTGTAAGCCGGACATTTGAACAACCCGAGCGCTCGGTTTTAGGGCGGTTTTGCTTCCGTTTCAGGTGAACTGTTGCATCATTCTCATCCACACTTTGAACAAGTTCAGGTACGATGATAAACTGATTGCTGAGCAGCTGGCCAATGACATCATTCCGGTGCTGGTTGGGAAGCTGGCGTGGCTTGTTGGGCCTCCTGATGTGGTCAACTTCAAGCACCTCAGCGAGAAGAGGCGCAAATACACATTTTCCAATTCGAGCATTGTCAAGAAACGGCTGCGTTATCCTGATGTAAGTATAGGATGGAAACGGTAGGATCTACATTGTGTCCACGTATACTAACCTGGACGCACTGTTTTCATTGGTATATTTGGATTTCCAGACCTTGAAAGAATGCGGCAGCAGCCCAAATTCCAGCGACGATGAACTGGAATTTTACCGGAGCTGCATGAGAAGTCCCAGTCCCGGATCCAGCTCGGACAGCGACAGCGGAAACGCGCTGTCCTGGAGCGAAGGCGGCATCAGCCCGAATCGCTCCCTAGCTCACGGTTGGTGCGCCCCAAATCACCTCGATGCAAATTTTTATGAGGCTGAATTTCCAGAGTCGGACTCAGACGATTATTCGCCGGTCTGCAGTGAGGTGGACGAGGCGGATTTTGGAGCACACGACCACGATTTCCAGGACTTTGGCGAGCTGGACGAAGTCAATCCGGCGGTGGAGGAGGCTGGAGATGCCGCATCTGAGGACAGCAGGTCGAACGTGCGCCGCTCCCTCCAAGTGTCACTCTGCCATGAAATCGTCGCCCTCATCAGGTCCTACCTCAAAGTGCAGCCCCATCACCCTCATCTGGCCAAAGTGGAGCTGGTGATGCAGCTGACCAAATGCGCCATCAATGAACAGTTCGACGTCAAAGACGTAATCTGTGAGATTGTCAAGTGAGTTGGATGCCGGGGCTGGGATGGGATGGACAATGCCCAGTTTTCTTTAGGTGTGGGGAACATTTGATATCCCTGATGCAGACCAACTACATCCACACGCTGAACGACATGCGGAACATCCCGGCCAATCACGAGACCTGCTCCCGGTGTCTGTTCAACGCCCATTTCACCTATCGCATTCTGAAGAGTTTCAGCGAAACAGCGGAGTCGGGAGCTGGCAAAGGCGACATCGCCCATAAGTTGATGCGAGGCGACTGGAAGGTCAAGCAGAGCTTGGTGCTGGTGATTCCCTACATCATAGCGTAACTTGCCCAGCTTCTCATCGGGGGCCGGAGTAATAGCTTGACGGTTTGCAGGAATAGGTCAATCCTGGGAAAACTGATGCTGAACTGCGGCGGCTTGGACGTGCTGATGAAGCTGCTGCAGGAAAACGACGGTCAAGACAATCGGCGCAGCCTGAAAGTGCTGGTTCAAATGGCCCACAGTGTCCTGATCAACAACCCGAAGTCGCTCTCTGTCCGCACTATGGGCTGGCCCAAGCTGGCCATTGGCGAGTATGAGCTGGCGGAAACTTGCAGCAACGTGGTGTCGTTCCGATTGGATGACGGCTGCCTTATCCCATCCGACCGCGACTTTCTAGTCAAGCAATCCGACTTCTTCAAAGGCCTCCTGGATGGACACTTCAAGGAGAGCGAACAGGCTGAAGTGGCGCTAGCCGAAGTGGAGTCCAAGAGCTTCAAGTGTCTGCTCTTTATCATACAGGCGATCGAGCTGCAGAAGCCATCCAAAAACATTGAAATTGTTCTGGATCTGGACACTTTGCTTGATCTTATCTCGCTATGCGACCGCTTTCTACTGAGCGATTTGTGCTTGATCATCACAGACACAGTGCAACAGTTTCATATTGCGGTGGACACAGTGCCGCTCATCTACAACTGGAGCGTGGAATCTGGCACCAACTTGTTGCGGATCGAAAGCGTGGCTTTCGCCCTAGTGGCCTCAGTCGATGATCGTGAACGTTACGCGATGATTCAGAAGCTGTTCGCTTTGGGGTACAAGAAGCAGCTGCTGGGCGATATCGATACGTTGCTCAGACGCTATCTGAGCATCAGCGACTACAGCCCGCTGCGAAAGTCTCATGCCATCAAGCGCGACGCTATGAGAGAGATGAAAGAAAGTCTGTTGAAATATAGGCATTGATCTATGTTCGTAAGTTTCAGATGTAAATAGCCCATTTTGTATATTGTAAATTGCAAGTTCGGAATTTATTATTATTATCAGCTATTAAGAAAACGGAATATTTATTTTTTAGGCGTGGTTTTAATGAATTCCCTGAAACATAAAGACCGTCATTGGCACCAGTTATTAAGCTGGGAGCGCGGCCTTTATCGGTAAGTTTTCCATTTTAAACAAGGGTCTGCGGGTGGAGCTAAAACAAACTGAGAACGGGATTGGAAATAAATTAAGCGGATATTATGAAGGCTTTCACGGCCGGTTAAATCACATTTAGGAGTGTTTTCCGGGCTTTGAAGCCGTGGTCTATGGGAATTTCTTCCTGACGTTTCGTCCACAAATGCGGTGGACATTATCAAAGGCGATGAGGCAGTGGGCGAAGTGATCTCCCGTGCTTTCCGACTAAGACTGATCTCAGTGATCAGTCTGTCACTGTGAGATCAGTCACTGATCACTGAGATCAGTCTTAGTCGGAAAGCACGGGAGATCACTTCGCCTTTGATAATGTCCACCGCATTTGTGGACGAAACGTTAGGAAGAAATTCCCATAGACCACGGCTTCAAAGCCCGGAAAACGTTCCTAAATGTAAATTAAGCGCATATTTAGGACGTTTCTTTGGCGTGTTAGGAGCTATTGGAGCCGTTGCCGTTAGGTTTCGCGGATTTGAGCAATAACAAACAGTTTGGATTTAAAAGGGAAAAAATCAAGGGTAATAGCGCCAGTGCGTTGCACGTGACCGCCCATGTACAGAAAGCGGGTCGAAGGCAGTCAGAAAATTGGTTACGGAGCGAATTTTCATGACAAACAACCATCGGTAGGAAGCGATTGTTCCGACTATTGGGGGCTTTGATTACAGAAAAACCCCGGGCCCGTTTGTTAGAGTTAGTGAAAAACCCGCATTGACCGGGGGTTCTATGTTGGTGATTATCCGAAGAAGGACAAGATGTTGATAATGGCAAACAGTCCCGTTGGCGGATTATCTGCGTTGCACATCTTTTCACTAGCTGAGACTGATGTAAGGCAGGCAAAGGAAGACAAATTGCCTCAGATAGCCTTCCGAATAAATGATTAATAGCGAGATTATCAGATAATTAAAACGGAAGCGCGGGAAGTTACAAAAAGTCGAAATTAAAATGCACACTTTAATATGTTCGGCATGTTAATGCGGTGTGCTCATTGAGGTTCGCGGGGACCCCGATTTCGCTAATTGAAATGAAATCGTTTCGCAATTGTCACTGTCCTCCGCCAATTTCGACTAGGACAGCCTAGATCACGTCCAGTGCTGCTGATTGTCCGAATTCTTCACGCGCTAACGGTACTTCTGCCTTTGGGCGAGCACAAGGCCATCCGAAATTATCAATATTGGCGCTGAAAGTACCGTTTGCTCATCAATCAGTTGGAACATCTTTGTTTCATTCAATGACCAATCAAGTGGCATTCTTCGATAGCTTCAAATTTTTCAACCTCGCGGCTTTAATAAGTTTGTTCCCGAATAACCAAAATTGAGACAAGTTAATGCCGAAGTTTAGAGAACAACAACTATAAAGTGGGCAAATCAACACCGTTTTTTTGTGACCGACTCAGTGTTGTACATGAAGTAGGCCTGGGTAACTCGGTGAATTTTTAGGAGTTGGCGCAGTGCTGCCCAAATGGATTGGTGCGCCAACCCAACGCACCGGCTCAGTAATTCAGTTCCGTTGCTGGGAAAATGTTGATGATTTTTTTTTACTTTTTTTAGTTTTATTTTAAAGGCTATTTATTAATAATATTTTTAAAATGTCTTCAAATTCCAGAATTTTCCAGTTTTAGCCAAGTTACTGTTTCTTCTATAAATGCTCAATGTTCTAGTTTCGGCTAAAAATGCTGACAATCAAGATATTCGCGAAAAATTATGAAATAAATTTCGAATCCTTCGTCGCTTTGTGAAAAGGTTTGAAATCGCTTTCCAGCTTCCAATTTGGAACAATAATCAAACAATTTTCTATCAAGAAACGAACAGAATATGCGAAAGTTTTCAACAGACTATTTGGAAATCTCGCCACCTCCATTCCTCTGAAGACTGTAGTTGTTAAAAAATCTGGTTTTTTAGTTTTGACTGAATTTTTTTTTGCTTTACTTTCTACTCAAAAACGCTATATTTTGTAGCGTTTTACTTAAAAATACTGACGATCTGGAATGTATTTTACGCGAAAAATTACAAGATACATTTATAGCTTTGTAAAAATTTTCCAAAAACTTTTTTCAGTGTCAAATTCGGGACAAAGACGAAAAAAAATTCCTACGAGTTTTTCCCGAAAACTAACAAGATTTTCTCCAAAACCGATCACAAAACTAAAATTTTTTAATCGAAAACTGCAAAAACTAGTATTTTCTGATGATTTTCTTCTTTTTTGACAATAATGGGGAGTTCGAAATTCGCCTCGTTCATCGGTTTGCAGGGAACTTTAGAAAACCCTTTTCAGCTTCAAATTTGTCACAAAAACCAAATAATTGTATTCAGTTTTTTGGTTTTTGCGGCAAATTTAAAGCTGAAAAGGGTTTTCTAAAATTCCCTGCAAACCGATGAACGAGGCGAATTTCGAAAACTCCTCATTATTGTCAAAAACGATCACAAAGCTAAAAGTTTTTAATCGAAAACTGCAAAAACCAGTATTTTCTGATGATTTTCTTCTTTTTTGACAATAATGGGGAATTTTCGAAATTCGCCTCGTTCATCGGTTTAGGGAACTTTAGAAAACCCTTTTCAGCTTTAAATTTGCCACAAAAACCAAATAATTGAATTCAGTTTTTTACCGAAAGTAATTAGGATTACTTAGAAAAACAACCAGAGAGCAAAAATTTACAAAAAATTATTGGGAAAATTCGCCGCCCTCACCGCCCTGAAGATTTCTAAACTTTCTTTACGTTTTCAGGTCATTCCAGTTTTAACAAAGTTTCTATTAAGCAATTCTTTCTACGCAAAAATCGCATTATTTTTTAGTTTTGCTTAAAATACTGACAATCTTCAGGTATTTTCTGTGAAAAATGATAAGACAAATTCTATTGGAACACTCGCCTCCTTAACAGCTTTGCTGCAGTGAAAAATGTTTGGAAAACACCAAAAACAGCCCGATAGTTTGCCACTTGATCTGTTGGATTAGCTGAAGCAGTGTTATTTAAATGCAATTTCATAAGAACCAGATTGAAAAGAAAACACAATTTGAACATCAACAGCAACACCTTAATGACTCGGCATCAAATCGGGGATTAGATCGCGCGAACGTAATCAAACTTGATTAGGTATTCTCGACTAATTATAATCCATTTTTTAATTATCTCGCAATGGAATCTGGGCTATTGGGCGGTGCCATTTTGGGGCTCGAATTAGAAACCTCTTGAGGCGAGGAACCACGAAACAGGCAAAGTACCGGAAGATTATTGACGGAACAATTCGCTTAATATTCATCTAATATTCATCTGGGCTGTTGGAAGAATCGAGCCGAGTCACGAAAATATTCCAACGACATGTGCAATGCGTACTTGTAGAAAGTAACAACATCTAACAGTATATGCATGCACAGCTCGAACGGATCTGAAACTACATGCTGGCATGTCGGTTGAAACATTTGCTCCTTTTGCCCATTTGGCCGATAATGGGAAAGTAAGTAAGGCTCTTTGTCAATCACTATTCCAATAGTGATCCATATCATATCGTGGGACCAAAAAGTTACAGGAAAAAAGCGCGTGTTTCCTTTGTATCCCTGCCGCAAAGCGGCCAACTTCCTTGTTAATTGGCGCACTTTTGTGAAAGTATCCCGCTCAGTTTTTCCTTTCATAAATTGCAGAAAAAAACGCGCAGAATTCGTTGTTACCCGCATAAATCGCCGACGAATCCTTATCGTGTTGCGATAGAACCGTAATATCGACTCATTAGTTCTAATCATTTTAATGAACGCATTTACTCGCTTGCTTTCTATTTAGATCGATGCACTTATGCAATTTCCTTATATTGCACCACTTTTTTTTGCGCTGATGACAGCCAATGATTTAGACGTGTGTTGGGCTCGACCAGTATATTATTATCTCAAAGTCAGAACATCGATGGTAGTCAAAGGCTGTTGCACCCGATATGCGATGCCCATCGACGTTCTGATTTATAGAAAAGGTTTTTTCACAAGGCGACAATGAGACACAATAACAAAAAATTGCAAGCGATTGGTGATTGTTTTCAAATAATAGTTGATTAGGATTGTAGGAATGCGAAAGTGGCCTCATATACAGGGTGATTCAAAACAGCAAACTACAACACACTCGGCACAACAATGACATTATAGTCTACTGGATGCCTTAATTCTAATATTTTTCTTTTACCGCCTGCGGGCACAATAAAACAGGCAAAGTCAGAAGGTCCAGTGTCATTTTAAACACCCACTAAGGGTGTTTTTCCTTAAAATGTCAATAAATTTGTGTTTTTTAGAGCTAATTTACTGATCTTAAACTGAGCCCCAAAATCAGCTGCTAGAGTTTGTTGGAGCCCCTTTGAATCGCCTTCTGTACACGCCCATAGGTATTGGTTCCCAGGCATCAAAAATGTTAATAGATTTTTCAAAGTTCCATACAGGCAGGCAAATTGCTTCCGAAGAAAGTCCGCACCATTGAGGCGTAATTGGTAGTGGGTTTTCGCACACGTACAGAACGAAAAAAACGCATCGATAATTAAACGTTTTAATCGGCGCGGCTGCGGGGCGCACGTTGTTTTTTCCGTTTTTTCGTTCCCCAAACGATCCATCTTCCTTCCACCTGTGCCGACGTCACCGTGTGTCTTGCGGCGAGGAAAACTAGAGCGTCGTTTCTTCAGTTTGAAAGACACGGCGAACGCGCGAAGAACGGGAGTTTTACAAGTAGCGTTAGATCGATCGTGCCTAAGTGGAACGGCTTCAGTGTTTTCCGATGTGGTGGTACCGAGGTGGCACCTCGCTTTGGGGTGTTTGTGGAACCTTTATTGGATTACTAGTCCTGGCCAGATGTACGTATTCACGATCTTGTGCAAAATTATTTAAGCTCCTCAGTAGAACTAGTTAGAACCAACTAAGCCACGCAGCGATTATTGGGGCTAAAACAGCCTCAGGTGCTTACTGTGGGTCATATTTGGACAACGAATCATCGCAATCAGTCCTCAACTGGGCGCAAATGGACCAAAGACTTGGAGCGGAAGCAGCAGACCCGCGCTAATTGCAATGCTTTGCCCAAATCAACCGTTTTGGTCGTTTCCCGCTGGAAGTTCCGGCCTGGAGCAACACGTCCGGACTGAATCGCATTGCACGATTGTCGCATTGCAATATGCAATGCGATTCATCCGGGAAACCCATGGGCTGGATTAGGGTCATTCGAACGCAATCTATGGGAACCGGCGGAAAGTTAGTGGGTCAGTGGCACGCGCCGCACAATAACGACCAGGCTGCAGATAATCGAGGAATTTGAACAGGAAAAGGCAGCGGAGCGTGCCCATACTTTGCCCATGCTTTGCGTCTTATGCATAGAATAAGGCTTACTCGTCTTCTTATGGCATTTTGGTTTCGTTGCAGGCGCCAATCCAGAAGTGGCGGGCGGTTGCAAGTTTCCAGGCTCGCCCGCCCACTCGTCCGTGGAGTTTTCCGACGAAACTCTCGGCCCCGCCACCATTGCTACCTACTCGTGCGAGCGCGGCTTTGAGCTGCTGGGGCCCAGCAGGAGAGTGTGCGAGAACGGCGCCTGGTTACCCGAAGGGATCCCGTTTTGCGGTAAGTACAGTACTAAGTGGGTTCTTCTGGGCACCGTCCTTCCAAAGGGCTCGAATTTTTCCCCAATTTGGGGCTGCTGATGAATCAATTGCAGCCTAATCGGTTCTAATGAAAACGCGGGCACCCACGGTCATCGACCATTAAAAGGAATGCAGAAGTAACGTTGCTACCGCTACATAGAAATCGAAACGATCGGGAAAAGATCGCTCTGCATCGAAACAGGTTGAATGCAACTGATACAGTTTTCCCGTTTGGTCAACATCGGATCGATTGCACATCGTTATCTGACTATCTATCCGTTATCCCCGCCACTGTTATTGTGGTACTTTTATTGTTGTCTCCGTTATATCTTGTTCTTCTTCATAATGATACAATCACGATGTCATTTTGCTTGATGTGAGCCAAATGTTATGGCTCGGATGACACACTTGACCCACTTTGGCTTCGCTGTTTACACGCCAATTTCGTTGCACCTAGAGGTTTTCCATCGAACATACATTGCGAATTTCCATTAAGTACGACCCGTTTTAGTCGCCCACTTATTAGCGCCCTCCATTCTTGCGACCGAAATGTTTTCAAGTGAAAAGTGGAAAATATTGGTGGTCTTCAGAGAAGTAAACCTCTGAGATGAGTAGAAAGATTGGCGCTCACGGCTAATAACTTTTCCGAATGCTTCATTAGAAACTATTTTCTTAATTTTTTTAATAATTAATTTATTATTTTAAATTTTTATTATAAAAAACTTTCCCAGGGCGAAGGAACAAACTCAGATGTTTTTTTCCTCCTGTCGACTACAACGCACCGCACCTCTATTTCTTCTACTTTTGGTTTCAGAAAAAAAAAACTTCTGAATTGATGACGAGTTTTTGAAGAATTTATTTTCTTCCTTAGAGCTTAACGCGTTTTTCTTCCCTTGGTTCTGCAAAAAACCGCGCAATTAACCCCGAAGAGAACGGTTAAATTTTGGAAAGCTCGGTAATTATATTAGAAGTTTTCTGTCTTGTGAAGACTACAACCCTCTATACTTTTTGGTGGTGAGAAATAAAAACCTTCTAAGTTGATTAACGAGTTTTCGAATAATTTATTTGCTTCCTCAGAGTTTAACGCGCTTTCCTTCCCTTGGCTGTTAAAAACCGCGCATTTAAAGTATGAGGAACCAAAAAAAAATTGGAAAGCATGGAATCGACTAAGAAGTTTTATCTATCTGAAAACCACAACAGATCTTCAGTAGTTTCCACTTCAATTTTTTTGACGAAAACTTTAATTTATTAGAGAGCACTGAGGAGAACAGTTTCAACAGCTCGGTAATCGACTCAGAAGTTTTATTCTGCTGAAGACTTCTACAAAGCTTTACGAAATTTTAATGTCGTCTTCACAGTTCAACGCGTGTTTCTTCCCAGAGCGAAATGAAGAAACACGCAACCCTTCCTTCTGAAAGCTGCTACAAAGCGATCTTCTGCATCTTCTACTTGTACTAGAAGAGAGGAGAACATTTCCCGAAAGCCTTTCGAAGACCAATAGTAGAAAAGCTAGAGATCCGTTTGTTCCGGCGTTCAGAGAGAAAAAGCTTTTGAGTCGACTGCTAAGCTTTCCGAATTTTTTTTCGGAGGTTTTAATGCGTCTTTCGTCCCAGTTAGAAACGCGCTTTAAGCTCTGAGGAAGGCAATACGTTTCCTGAAAGCTTAGTAATCGAATCCGAAGCATCTTTCTTCTGAAAATGACTTGCAAATAAGCGATTCTCTACATTTCCTACTTTTACTAAAAGAGAGACGAACGTTTCCCTAAAGCCCGATAATCAGCTCAGAAGCTTTTCCTTTCTGAAGACCAATAGTAGAAGATATACAGATCCGTTTGTTGTGGTGTTCAGAGCGAAAAAACTTCTGAGTCGATTTGATTTGTGTTTGTTTCTTCGCTTGGCTGTGCAAGCACGCGTTAATTCCTCAAAAAAACATTTCGTGAAAAATTGATAGTCAATTCAGAATTTTTTCTCTCTGAAGACTACAATAAGCCGATTTTCTACATCTTGTACCTTTGAAGGTCTTCAGGAAAAACTTCTGAGTCCATCAGCAAGGTTTCGGACAATGTACTTCCACCTTCAGAGCTTAGCCAGTGTTTGTTCCTTCCCTTCGCTGTGGGAAGAAACAGGCATTAAACTCTGAAGAAGCAAATACATTTTCCGAAAGCTTTTTCTTTCTGAAGACCGCAACGAAGAGATTTCTAATAGCTGCCACTTTTAAAAATTTTTGGCTGCTTCTGGGCTTTGTGTTTGTTTAAATCGGCATTATTTACCATTCGCATGACCAGTCGAATTAAGAACGGCATAATATGATTCCAAACCAGATCACTTTCTATATTTATTTCTGTCAAAAACTTTCCTTTCAACGACTATTTATTTTCCAGCAATCGAGCAATTTTACTTGATTAATTTGCGTTTGTAAAACCGATTTTTTGCACTCTGCTTAATGGCCATTTCACGGCAGGCCGACGCAATTTCACTTTTTAAACGGTTCACCTCCGTACTATTTAATAATCATTCAGTTCCTACTTGCTAATTGATCTCGAATCCGATCAGCTCATACTGATTGAGTGCGGAAAAATCACCCGGAAAACACCGATTTGAGTATTTCGTTCAACAATTGGGCCTTGATTCGGGACACCCAAAAGATGATGCTAATAATGAACCGATTTCACTTCATCGAAATTGCCGATGACTCGGTCATTTATGAGGCGATTTTGGACGATGAGTAAAAAAGGTCTAAGTTGGTCGCTCGTAACGGAATGCGGGCCTCCAAACTGGGTCAGCAGAAGTTTTTGGTCAACAGACGCGCATCAATTGCGGATGTGCATCCATAATCGCCGTGTTGCGATTTCGGATAGAAAAATGCAACCCAACCCGGTTTGTATCGTGAAAGTATTGTCAACCGTGGCCTTTCCGGTCATTGTCAAGGTTTCATGGCTGAATATTCGGTTACAGTATTGAATGTGGCGGCCGGCAAGGCTCCGATGCAAGTATCCACTGAAGCGGGTGGAATACCGCAAAAGGCCATCGACGGCAGCACCAGTGCCTTCTTCAGTGCGGAAACCTGCACACTGACCAAGGCGGAAAAAATGCCCTGGTGGTACGTGAACCTGCTGGAACCCTACATGGTCCAGTTGGTGCGGCTCGACTTCGGTAAACCCTGCTGCGGTAAGTCGTGAAACTGAGCAACTAACAACTCCTGCTTCGAGAGTGAAAGTTATGTCTAAAGCGCAGAACATCGATGATAATCCCACATAGCAAAATGATATTCCCATAATATACCTGGAACATTCATGATGTACATGCATATTCCTGGGACATACATGAGCCATTATGAACATTCCATGTATGTCCCAGGAATCTGTCAGAGTTAATACACTGTATGTTCATGGTATGTTCCGGGTATGTACATGGTATGTTCAGTGAATGTACATGTGTATGTTCTGACAATGTACCTGGTATGTTCAGTGAATATACATGTGCATTTTCTGGGAATGTACATGGTATGTTCAGTGAATATACATGTGTATTTTCTG